TCTCGGTTCTTAAAGAGTCCCTGCCCAGGTGCTGGCAGGGCAGTGCTGACAAGGAGACCTTGCCTCTCATCAGGGGATCTAAGGTGGATCTTCATGTAACCTGGCCTGCCAGCTAAATTGAAGGCCTATTCATGGCCATTACAGCATACATTATTTTTCCCCCTAAAAAATTGCTCAGTTCCCTCCCCATACTTAAAACACCGTAATTAAAAATACATAGGAAATTCAAATTTACATAGCATGCCCAGAAAAAGAACTTGCCATGACTTAACATTAAACAGTTATAGAAAATTGGATCAACACAATTTTCAAGCTGAGATCACAATTTGAACAAACCTGATTTGTTCTTTCTTTGAAGTCCTACACAGGACTAATTAAAAAGGGGAGAGGGGGAATCTTTACATTCGGTAATCAGACAACCTAGAACCAAGCCACTGAATATGAGAACATCCAGGCCTTTTGCTCCAATGGCTAAAGTTGCCTTAGAATTCACACTTTAGTAGGACAGAAGGTCCCAGGTATAAGATTTAAAAATTCTTTTGCTAAGAAAACACAGAGTGATTGTAATAGTTGCATACCAATGAAAAGAGATGGAGGAGGGAGAAATGTCGAGATATCTGTGTTTTTGTTCTTGTTGTTGCTAAAATGTGACAACCAGTAAGTCCACCTGTTCAATTTCAGCAGCAGTTCTGACTCTTTGGGGTGAACACTGTGAGGACGATGAGCACCCCCCCCCCAACACTGATAGTTTCTACTATCAGTAGATAATAGAACACCACTGAGAGCTAAGAAGTCATGTGCCAAGCCAAGTTGGGGACAAAATATCCCAGTCATCCTGGTCATCTGGAAAGGCATCTGAATGGTGAGTGAGGGGGGCCTGTCACTCTGATTGGTAAAAACGAGAGGGACCAGCCCAGCAGATTGGCTGGAGCCCAAGCAGAGACCCCTGGCCATTTTCAAGTCTCTGAGTAGTGTATCAAAATGCTAGCTTGGCTTCCCAACGTCCACTGTGCTTTTGGTATACAACGGTTGTCTCTCTACGGCCAACACCTTGTAGCTGAGCATGTTCAAACCATCCAAGCGCATTGTCTCCTTTGTGTGTGCAATTCGGTCAAACCTCTGTGGATTGGGTTCATTTTTTTTGTCTCTTGAGTGGCGGATCATCCGACATTTCCCGGCATTTGGGCGAGATATAGACATGCCTTTAAAAACTAATCTGTTGAAAATGTCATCGTCTTCACCTCCCCAGCCCCAGTAATTATTAGGAAATCCATTGATGGTGAGAAACTGCTCTTTACTCAGAGCAGAAACACCTCCAAAATACTGAACATAAGGCAGGCTAAATCCAAACTTGTCCATGGACACAGAAATGTGCCGTGGCTGTGAAAAGCACCGGTAGGTATTCTGGTCATCCACTGGAATGAGGTCCACGTCACTAAACACAAAGCAGTTGTAATCATAGTCCTTCAAGGCCTCTTGAAAGCCAATATTGAGGAGCTTAGCACGATTGAACATTGAGTCTCCATCCCGGTTGATAACATAGATGCCATAATCCAACTGCTGGCGCTGCAGTACTGGGTGCAAGTAATACAGCCAGTACTTGAGGTGTTCTTGCCGGTCGCGGAATGGAATAATGATGGCTACCTTGTGAGGAGAGACGCAGTTCCTGGGAGCATAGCGGCCGCCCACCTTTACCGCCGGGTTCTGTTCTGCCACACGCTGTAGGTCCACAGCCATGTTAAACTCGATCATCATGGGGCCAACAAGCAGAGGGGACTCCTCGGGGCAGGCAGGGGGCAGCAGCACGGATGTGGCTGGCACCGGGGCCGCAGTCCGGCTGCTCCGAGGGTCCAGGCGGGGATCAGAAGTGGAGCGCCAAGGCACTGGCGGTGGGGCCTGTTGGAGCCAGAGTTCTCCGGAGGTCTGCCAGGAGGCGGTGGTGCCGCCCGAGCCCCCGTGCAGTGGGGAGGGCACTCTGATTAACTGGGGCAGGCGATTCAACTCCCGGCCGGACAGGTAGTAGACGAGGGTGACGCGGAGGTGCAGCGCGCAGATGGCCACGAGCAGGCGGCAGGCCCGCTGCAATGACGCGCCCGGCATCGCGGCGCTGCCGCCCAGGAAAGGCTCCCGAAACCTCATCTTCCCGCCGCCTCAAGAGGGTGGGCAATAAAACCGGGACGGCGGCCCGCCCGCGGGCCCCCGGCCAAGCGCTGCCGACCACAGCGAAGGTGGAGCGGCCGCGGGAAGGAGCTGGAGCTCGGCGCATGGACACGGGATCGTCCCGATCGTCCAGACTCGGCTGGAGCAGAACCGAGAGAAGTGCGCCTGAGGCGCGGGCGGGGGAGGCGGGGCCGCCGGCCGATAAATGAAACTTTTTGATACAGTACTTAATGAAAAGTTGGTGACACTTTGGGAGAAAGACGTGACCATCTGCTCCTTAAAGGTTTACAGCCATGGAAACCCCAAAGGGCTGTTCTATTGTGCCTTATAGGGTCGCTGTGAATTGGATGGTAGTGGGTTTGAGGGTTGGTTGGTTGGTTGGTTTTGTGTTTTTTTTTAAAACACAGCATATCTATAAACCTATTCTATTCATACTTGATCAATTTTTTTTTCATTTTTTCATTTTTTCAGATTAAGTATTTCCCCAGTAACTTCATTATTAATTACTATAACAACCAGGTTTTTATTTTATATAGGTTATAATTTTTGAGGATGGGGGCAGGTGTAGTGGTAGCAGGAGCCTGGTGGTGTCAGCCACAAACATCACTAAAGGAAAGAAAGATTGATGATCACTGACAAGATCCAATGTTTTATTTGGTTTGCAAAATGGTGATAATTTAGTTCTTGCTTCCTTTATTAGGATACTTTATAAGGAGAAAATTTTATAACTATTTAAAAATATCTTATAGAGAAAAAATTCATCAACCATTTGAGAGATAGTTAATATAGAAAATGTAATTTAATGTTTAAGTTCCTTCCTCTTTTGTTTCCTTAAATTTTTACCCTAGTCAGTTGGTCTACTAGATTTGAGAACAGTCTACTAGGGATTGACATCCACTTCTGTAATAGCTTGCCTCTGGAAACCCTATGAACTCGGAGAAAGGTCGAAAGTTATACAGGTGTCCAGGTCTTTTGTTCATACAGTCACTATGAGTCGCCACCAACTTTATGGCTCTTAACAACAACAACAACTACTCAGGATGAGAAAATTCATTTGTTCTCTACATCATCTTTCTTTGAAACACTAAACTAAATCACATTGGTTTTTAGAAGTAGAAGCCCTTTGTTATATATTCTTATAGTATTTTAATTCATTTGAAATAAGTAGTGATGTAAACCTTTGGGGAACTATTAAAGGAATTGGCATTGTTTTGATTATAAACAAGGGTTTCTTGTCTTTAGACAGTAAGGTTGCTTCATGTAATTATCCTTTTCTGTATCTCACATGTGTCTTTTAAAATTTTTTTTATTGTTGCTCACTTTCTTCCCTCCTCTCCCTTTCCTCTGCCCAGTTTACTTTTTTAAAAAAATATTCATTCATTGCTCCACAAATTCATCCTTCCCCTCCTCTTACCCCTCCCTTAGTCAATGTGCAATGTACCTCTTATTTTAGACTGCTGTCATACATCTAATGCCTAATCATATATTCCTTTTAAACAATTCTTTCCTTCCTCTGTTCCAGTGCAGTATTATCTACTCATTGTGTTCTGAGAGCAGATTTGAAAATATGTTAAGTACTCTAAGACTTCTTGCTTCCAAAAATCCTAAAGAATAAACAATTCTGTTTTGAAAAAGGCCAGGATGCTCTTGAGAGGCAAGGATGGTGAAACTCCATCTCACGTACTTTGGGCATGCTGCCAGGAGGGGCCAGTCCCTGGAAAAGGACATCATGCTTAGAAAGGTCCGTGAAGGAGGGGAAGACCCTCAATGAGATGGATTGATGCAGTAACTGTAACAATGCACTGTAACTGTAACAGAGCAAACATTGTGAGGACGGTGCAGGAACATCCATGGCTTATTTAGTTCCATTTGTCAGTATGAGTCAGAGCCGATTCAACACCACTTACCAACAACATTCTACTTTCACTTGGAAGAATGTAATTGAATCAATAAATAGCGTGCCCCTCCTCCTAATAACAGCTTTAGGAGTAAGTTAGCTAATGAAAACTTGGTTTCTGGCTTTGCAACATCAGAGATCACTACAAAGAGCAGGAATCCAGGTGCAATAAAAGAGATGTTATAAGCCAGCAGTTGTGTAAGTAACCATGAAATCCAAGGGTGGGGTCCTCAGGGATCACTCAAGGTGTTCAACATTACTTTCATAATAATTTTTATAAATAAAATGTCCCTTTCCATTTTCCCTGTATAGACATTTGCACTGGGGGTATCAAAACAATGGTCTGATAATCTGTTGGCAACCTAACACAAACTCAACAAAAAAGATGCCAAATTCATGTAAAAATGTCCTCATAAATGAATGAAAATTAACAATTGCATTACTATTCAATATGACAAGGCCTGATACAAGCTCATGTTGTGGTTACATGCTATCTAGTCAGAGCTGACTCACAGCTGGTCCTCCAGCAAGTTTTTGGAGTCAGTAATCACATGGGAGGAAACTGCTCTGCTTTTCTTCCAAGGAGATTCGAATCATGCACCTTTGTGTTGGCAGCAGAAGAATCAATACCTTTGAATTGTGGTGTTGAATAACTGAATTATCCCATAGACTGCTAAAAGAACAAACAAGTCTGTGCTGGAGGAGGTGCAACCAGGATGCTCCTTAAAGGCAAAGATGGTGAAATTCTGTCTCACATACTTTGGGCATGTTGTCAGAAGGAACAAGTCCTTGAAAACACCATCTTGTTTAGAAAGATAGAGAGTCAGAAAAAGAAAGATGCGCAACAAGACAGATTAACAGAGTGACTGCAACAATGGACTCAAGCATATCAGAAATCTTAAGGATGACACGGTTTAGGGCAAAGTTCAGATCTGCTCACAGAGATCCTATGTTGTTCATAGGGACCCTATGTTGTTCACAGGGTCAATTTGATAGTACCTAACAACAGCAACATATGAGGAGGTAGGAAATACATAAAGGATTCTACTAATGGAGTAAGATGGTTGTGTCAGGGAAATGTACAACTATGTGACTTGCTAACTGAATTAACCTCTTTTTCTTTTTTTTAATTAGCAACAAAAATACTCTCAAACTCACTGCTATAAGGTCAGAACTGACTCATAACTGGTCTTCTATGCAGTTTTTGAAAGGCTGTAAATTGCATGGGAGGAGATTGTCCATCTTCTTCCCACAGAGCAAGGAGCAGATGCAACTGCCCAGGAGGCACCACCTTGGAGTTGGCAGGGCAACTCCCTATGGTCGACTCTATCAGAGCTCTTTATTTATTTTTCATATACCATCACTTTACCTGAAAGATAATGATAATGAACAAGTTGAGGCTGCTGCTTTAAAGAAATAAAACTAAAAAAAAAAAATAAAAATAAAGAAATAAAACTGACAATGTTCGTTTTCAATTAAAAAATCTTGGACTTGCAAGTAAAACTTAGATTTAAAAAAAAAACAAACCCAACTTACATCAGCCACCAATAACTTAACTGCTTCTCCATAACTAAAGACTTTTCTGATCCTATCATTCCCTATCCCAGCCACTGTGGTTTGTTTGTTTGTTTGTTTGTTTGTTTTTTTAATAATTTATCACAAAATTTACCCACCTTTAGCAGATCTCTGCAAGTCAATGAACCAGTATTTTTCAGCTCAGGCTTGGGTAGAAAGAGTCACTCAAAGGACAGGACAGAGCAATAGATATTAAATAACAGAGAAAGAAAAGTTTACTTATGTGGTCTTAGATGCACACTACAGTCACACTTTAAGAAACTATCACTTAGAGTTACAGCGTAGGATCAAAGTGTGTTGTTATATTGTTGTTATGTGTGGTGGAGTTTGAACCAATTTACAGCTGATCCTCATCAACTATAAATCACAAAGGAAGAGATGGGCCATCTTTGTCCCAAAGTAGAGTTGAACCTCATGTCTTTGGTTGGTAGCGCAACTCCTTACCACAACAGAACTCCCTGTGTCAAAGAGGTTTTGCTGTTATGTGCAAAGCCAATTCATAGTTAACCTTACAGCAGGTTTTCAGAAGCTGTTTATCACAAGGAAGGAAACTGCTCATCTGTCTCCTGCAGAGCAGCTAGTGTATTCAAACCACTTGTTCTTGGGTAGCCCCTTACCAGGAGGCCAAAAGAGCTTCCTGTTACAAAGAGCAGTACCTGAAAAATCTATTCATAAACTTTTCTCCAACTTCTGTGGTTCAAAGCCTACTTTCATTTACATATTCAATCACATTTCAGATTAGGCTGAACACAGAAGTAGAAATGAGACTATCTCTGTATTCTATCCAGCCAAACCACAGATCTGTGAAACTTCAGACAATCCTCCTCTTTTCACTACTTGTTCATAAAGTGATGACATGCTAACATATAATAAGCTTATTTTTAATAACTTACTGGATAGTCTACTATTCCCTCATTTTGTATTTCTAATTTAACAAATAACAATAAACAACTCATATGCACACAAAGTCTTTGGGACCCTCAATTTGTAAATGAATAAAGCACTTTTGAGACAAAAAGAGTGAGAAATGCTGCTGCAAATACACAGCCAATGCTTAAGTTGCTGTGCTTGTTCAAACGGATTTTCAGATGTAGCCTTATTATTTAACTCCTCCTTTGAGTGAAACACTAAAAGTTGAGATGCCTGCAAGGGCAAAGCCACCAATCAAGGGCACTAACTACTATCACAAGTATTACCCACCGTGTTCATCAAGAGAAAAGGTCTTACCATGATAGTCTTGTGTTCCAGATCACAGCTGGGAGTTCAAGAGACCTGAAGCGGTGGAACTGTTTTTGTTAGGTGCCATCTATCAACTACAACCCATAGCACTTATGCTCACAATCTCTGTCATGCTCGAGCCCAGTCACTGTGTTAATTCATCTTGCTGAACAACAACCATCCCAGTATGGTGTAGGTAGGACTTACTCTCCTTTAGTTCAGTGTACGCCGTTGTTGTTGTTATGTACCATTGAGTAGGAAGTGACTCACAGCTGACCCTCCAGCATGT